AAAAATGCACCAGGAGATCAAAATATCCAATCATTTTGTCTTCGTACAAGAAAATATAAAAACAAATAATTATTTAATTGGAAATTGTAAACAATAAATTGCCCATAGGCGTGAATGCAGGAGTGAACGTGAGTGCGATTGGTTGTCTCTGTCTTAGCCCTGTGACAGACTGGCGACCTGTCCAGGGTTCTACCCCGCCTCTCACCCTAAGACAGCTGGGACAAGCTCCAGCAACCCCTGCAACCCTGAAAAGGATAAGCGGAAGCGAATAGATGGATGGAAATGATTTTTTCAAATGACCAGTTATAGAAAGATTATAGAATTTAGTATTCAGGTCAGTTTACCTTCATTAAGCGCACTCATCAAATAGTTAAATATTGTAAACCAACTTTATATTGTTCATCTACACATTTAACACAATGCTGGATTTAGATTTTATTAGCATTAAAAGTTAAACGGTAAGCACAAATGTTATTTATAGGAATAGGTCATGAGTGGACATTATTTAAAATGACGTTATTTAATGTTTGTGAAATTGAGATTCATGTTTGAACTTGAAGAGCGTGTGACTGTGATGGAAGGTGCACACATGTGTATTACAAACCAGCTCAACATTTTTTAACACAAAAAATCTGCACAACTCAGATGAACAAGAAGTGTCAGCCACCTCACACTGTAGTGGACAATGAAAGTACACATAAAAATCACAAAATAACAAAAATACAGCTGAAAAAACAGGACATGGATACTGATGGTAAACACATAAACACAGATATAACTTCCACGGCACACCATCATGCAGTACAGATCTACTGAACTCTGTAAACTCCTGTTAGCTATCAGCTTGGATGTTGGGGGAAAATCAGGGGGGAATGCAGGAAAATGCACTTTAATAACCACTTTTGTCAATATTTTTGAAGGAACTGGGAAGACTTTCATAATTTCTTTGCAATAGAATCTAACCTAAACATTGCACTTTGCTACATATACTGCAAAAATATCAATTTCACAGTTTTCTAATAGCATGCTATCAGGTAAAAACAGTTTATTTCCAAAAGATGCACAAGCATGCTTCGATTTAATCATGAATGAACAACAACAAATCATAACAAAGCCATGAGGGGGATGCCAGGTTTTTCTTAAAACAACAGTCATGGACACATGCCTCGGGAAAAATACGTTATCATTGTGACTCATGTTAAATATTCCCATAGATATACCAAGCAAAGAGGTAGCAATAAAGTTAGAAGGCTACCAGAACAAAATACATTAAAGGTATATGATGCAGCAACAGCTGGAACTTTAAAAAGACTTCATTTCTTGTTTCTTACCAGATTGAACTATCACATCGTATCATATGCTGTGCACAAGCAGAGAAGAAATGATGTACAAAAATACGTACAAATAGACGCTATAACAGGGAGATACTCAAGGACTGAGATTCTACTGAGCTGCCTTTGGACTGCCTCGTTGAGCTTTTTAACAACAAGCACAGTAAAACATTATGACCTGATATTTCATAAACAACGCTACGATACCGATGAAGTAAAGCAAATCAAAATGGAAATGATCAGAGGTTAACCTGGCCATTTGCGTAGTTTGTGAAGATCAGCCCGGAACAGGAGACGCAAACAAACTACATTTAAACTATGGAAATAAGAGCGACGCAGAGCATAAAAAGTTCCTACACTTTAGCTTCTAGCACAATTTGTGAATGAAATACAAAGAAATAGGAAGATAAGACGATCACATTTCATTCCCATTGATCTATACTGAGACAGAGCTTGATGGAGTTACAGTAGATCTGTCATAAAACACTCAAGGAGGAAAATTAAACTTCACAGCCACTTCAAAAAGAAAAATTAACTTAGATACAATGAATAAATATATCAACATATTGTAATCTACCACTGACCAAATGACTCTAAAGCTTAATTTTACTGGGCTCTTGAGTGTGAAATGAAATGCATATTAAGTTCACAGCAAGGAAAAGGCTAGTCAAAAGAAGAAGAGCCACAAGGGACAGAAAGGACAGAAAGGAGGGGGAGAAAGAAAGAAAAATATATGACAGCAAAGTTTCATTTACCACGTTCTAGCTTCTTATCTTTGAACCGCGAGAGCAGCAAATTGATGCGTAGGAAGGACATAGGCATGAGGAGTAAAGAGTTGAAACGGGCAAAGTGAACAAGATGTAGGGAAGAGAAAAACAAAGAGACGGAGTGAGTCCAGAATTCTCATGACTGCCAGCGAATGATAAACAGTTTCATACATTAACAGTCAAAATGCTGCGACTAACACACATGTGTCATGACTCCTTGACTCTGGACACATGAAAAGATATCTGTACCAGGCATACACATACAGGCACACACAAATGCACAGTATAAAGACTGACACTAAGAAAATATTATATTATATCACAAAACAAAGGAGGAGAACAAAGATGCAGATGTTTGTATGCATTGCATGTTGAGTTTGTGAGTGACCATTGAAAGCTGTCGACCATACTCACTGGTGCCTTCTTCTGAAACCATCCCAAGTCCCTCAGCCTTGTTCTGTCTCTCAAAAGCGTTCAAGTCCAAAACACTGTTAACAGCAAACATTTAATCAGCTTAAAAAGTACAAAAACTTGTATATCCCCTCCAACGGTAAGCAGAAGTATAACATCGACGTAACCATAAATATATTACAGACCTGCAGGTCTGCATCAGAGACTGAATGCTAAGGAAGAACCCCACATCCTTTTTATCCTTCAGATAGTCCAGCATCCTCTGCACACAGATGACAAGAGCATGATGACAACAACGCTCTAATGAAGATGTCAAGATGTAGATAGGCAGTAAAATAAATTTTGTTTTTTTAAATCTTTTTAGCCTATAGACATAAATATATCATACTCATGAAGGCTCTTTACCTGCTGTACATCACTGTTGCCTCCATTGAGGATGGAGATTCCCAGTTTGAGTGTAGAAGAAACCATGGCTCCAGGTTCACCTGAAACAAGCAGATACCGCTCGTACAACAACTTGACCCAACCATGAATAGCGAAGCTGGATTCTCTTTGCCAAGATAGCAACAGATAAAATGGTAGGAAAGGTTGCCTACAGTTTTTTTTATAGCAGGGGAGTCGAATAAGTCTGAGGGAGAATGAGCTGTGCTGCCTCTACAGCATAAAGTGGGTGCGATGGGTTGTCCATGACGGACAGCAGTTTATTCAGTGAGCTCCTAGCCCCCAAAATTTACAGGTCCTACTCCCACTACATTTTTATAAACAGGTTCATCTAACACAGCTAACGCTTGGTTCATAATTTTCACACAAGTGTTTGTGTCTGTGTGTGTGTGTGTGTGTAACAGTGTGCTACTATGTGTCTGTGTGCAGATCTAATGTGCAGCAGCTACCTTTACAGGCGCTGATCATTTGCAGCACCATCTCTGCAGCACCACGGTTGTGCAGACGGGACTGCTGGTACAAGAGCCTCTGTTTCTCCATCTCCTTTTCCTGTGCAGCAGAGTAGCAAGGAAACAGCTGTAACCCTGTCAACAGAGACTGCACTGCCCCCCGCACTTACACA